AATTTTAATCAACAGATTTCAAATTTCATGTTAAAATGTCGATCCGTTCAGGACTTATGACGTTTTGAATCTCTGTGGGAGTTTTTACCTACAGCTTAAAAAGTGCAAAACGACATAAGTCCTGAACGGATCGACATTTTAACATGAAATTTGAAATCTGTTGATTAAAATTTTTGAAGCTTGCTGTGGCATTCTCAAAAATGAGACGCTATTAACAGTATTGAATATTTCCTGGGTGGGCTCAGAAAAATGCTAATTGTTTTTGCAAATTTCGATCACAAAAATGAGTTGATAGGAACTCATCATTTGAGGTCAATGTTATCCACCATAAGTTTTAACTGGGACCCATGCTCAGAAGCTGAGATCCAGCATCCGAAAAAATCCTGGTTCTGCCACTAGGTCGACTCGATCTACCTTACGGAATGGATATTGATGATGATGGATCGGTTTATATTTGTGATCAAGACAATCATCGTGTTGTTAAATGGATTTCAGATGCAAACTATGGTGCAACTGTTGCAGGTGGGAACGGTCCTGGAGATAGAATAGATCAGTTATTTTTTCCAACAGATGTGGTGATTGATAAAGAGACTAATTCACTCATCATTTGCGATTCAGATAATAGTCGAATTATGAAATGGTTTCTTCAAAATTCGAAAACCCCAGAAATAATCGTATCGGAAATTTTCTGCGACGGGTTGGCTTTAGATAATAATGGAGATCTTTATTTCACTGATCCGATGAATAATACAGTAATACAATGGAAACAAGGAGCAAAAGATGGAATAGTTGTAGCTGGTGGAAATGGAGAAGGAAATGATTTCAATCAACTTTTTGCTCCTGGTACTCTCTGGGTCGATAAAGATTATTCAGTTTATGTATCGGATGCCAGAAATCATCGTGTGATGAAATGGTTAAAAGGCGCAAAAGAAGGAATTGTCGTTGCTGGTGGGCATGGCAGAGGTAATAATCTCAATCAATTAGATCTTCCCCGAGGATTGATTGTCGATCATTTGAGTAATGTTTATGTGGGTGACACTGGCACTTATCGAGTGATGCGTTGGCCAAATGGATCTCGAGAAGGTAGTATTATTGTTGGTCCACATAGCTGTGTAGAAAACTCAAATAGGTTTTGCACTATCAACGATATATGTTTCGATCGACAAGGAAATCTATATATCGCGGATCGTTTCAATGGTATAGTGCAAAAGTTTTATATTGATGACTGAAATTGGTCTTATACCAAAATGATTTATGAATAATATTTGTCGGTTGTGAAAGATTTTATTTTGTCAATTGAAAATTAATAAATAAAGGAATGATAATACTCAAATCATATCGTATATTTGTTTTATTTCAAAAATTTAATAAAAATTTAAAATAATGTGGACAATAATGAATGATCTTTTCATATACGAATATACGTAGCATATATAGTTAAGATTTTTGAAAATTTAATGAGTATTTCCTATTAATTTATGATATTTCTAAAACTTTGTTCAAATTTTCTTTGACAACTGTATGTAGAGTGTGTTTTGTATAGGATCTACTAAATTGTATTTATCCTATACAGTATACATGTGAGTTATTGGGAAAGTGAAAACATGTTTATGTATATTTCTATATCCAATAATTTACAAGCTTGTGGATATTATCTGAAGTGATCATCTGAACATATTGTAATTAAGGTATTTGGAGATTGAGAAGAATGATCATTTGAATATAACATTTGTTCCGTAAAAGAAAGATTTTCATATCCGAGAAAAACACCAATAGTATTCGTACCTGACTTTTGCGACAATAATATCTAGATGTTCATCATTGTTAATATCACCAATAACCAATGTTTTTGGTGAAGAACCATTCCCAGTTTCAAGTGACATTTTCTTAACAAAAGCTTCATTGATTGAATCAAGACATATGGTCATTTAAGAAGCACCATTAACTACAAGAAGAATATCTAATCGAGTATCATTGTTTAAATCCTTAATCACAGTTGCTGTAGTATTAGAACCAGTTGAGTATATAGCTCGATCAAAGAAAGATCCGTTGCCTAAACCGAGAAAAACACTCATAACATTATCAGCAAAATTAGTAAGAACAATATCCAATAGTTTATCTTTATTCAAATCAGCAACGCTGAAACTCGACGTAGGAGTGCCGGTAGAATGTGGTATTCCTGTGGAAAATGATCCATTTTCAAAACCAAAATGTACACTTATCGTACTGTTATCAGAATTACAAACAACAATATCTAAGTTATTGTCTTCATTAAAATCACCAACAGCTAATGATGCTGGATTATTACCAACTGCAAACCATGTTTGATATTTAAAAGAACCATCAACTAATCCGAGAAGAACACTTACACCATTGTGATAGGAATCGGCAACAAAAATATCTATTATGCCATTCTTATTACAATCACCAACTGATAATGAATGTAAATACCATCCACCATAATATGTAACTTCATCGGCAAATGTTCTATTACCTTGGCCAATTAGAACACTGATATAATAGGAACGTAAACTAGCAACAACAATATCCAATAGAGTATAATTGGTAAAATCGGAGAGAACGACACTAGTTGGCCAAATACCAGTCGCATAAGAACTTTCATTCGAAAATTATCCATTTCCAAAACCTCAAAAGATATTAGTAGTATCGTCTAAATTATTTGTAATAACGATATCTAATGCTTTATCGTTATCTAGATCACAAACAGCTACAGAATCCGAATAGAAATGAGCGTCATATTCAGTTTGATTGGTAAAGGAACCATCAGCTCGTTCCAGATAAATACTGAAAGTACCAGCCCAATGATTAACAACAACTGCGTCTAAATAAGTATCGTTGTTAAAATCACCAGTAGCTACATTTACTGGGAGAGCATCGGCATCATATGTATATTTTTCAGTAAAATTTCCTGTATCATATGAGAAAAATAAATCGATGCTATCGGTTTGATCATATATGAGAGCAATTTCCGACCGTCCGTTATCATCAAAATCACCAGCCACAACCAACAATGGAGAAAGACTGAAATTATCACCGAAGATGATTTGCTCTCTAAAAGTCCCGTTATCATTTCCAAGCATCATAGCAATATTATTACCACCTCGATTGGCGGCCGCAACATCTATTTGCCCATCATTATTAAAATCTTGAAGTGTGTCACGTCTTGCTATGCGAAAGTCAAGGAATTATATATTGTGAATATATATAATAGAAAGGTCTTTATTCTTGAATAAAGATAGAGAGAGAGAACTATCCGACACACATATATAGAAACATGAATATATACATGTGTGTGTAACGGAAAAGTCCGAGAACGCACAAGGAAAACACATAATGACGTCATATGTGTGTGGATAATCCCATACTACGTACATCACAAAGTGCCAATGAATACGGATTAGTATTGGAGCTTACTTTATATTTAATCTGATCTTGAAAAGTACCATCGGAATTACTAAACAAAATATCAACGTCTCCAGTATTGTAATTCGCGACGATCATATCCAAATCAGCATCGTTATTCAAATCATCGACTGCAATATATTGTAGACGAGAACCACTAGCAGATGACAACACGAAATGGTTTGATAGAGTTCCTCCGATCATAATCAAGTAGTAATTTGACGGTCGTGTTTCCATTGGTATTAGCAGTGGCAACGTCCACGTAAGTATCATTATTAATATCACATGTCGCAACTGATCGTCGACCATAATTATATTCAATTGGATTTGGACTTGTTCGAACGAAGTTTAATTCACATTTTTTCACTGAATTTTCATAGAAAATTTGAAATTTCATGAAAATGATAGTTTTGAAAGTATATACCTGTCGGTTTTGGTGTTGTATAACAAACAATAAGTGTTCCAAGAACAATTGTTACAATTGAGAATAAACTAAATCCAATCATTTGTCGACCAGTTGAATTTAATATATTGAACGTCGAGTTTTTCTAATTGAAATCAATGTTTCGAACGTGAAAAGAAGGAATTCTACCTCGTTGAAATTGACTCATCATCAATCTCGCTGTTCTCTTCTGCATCGTTAACCTGATTTGTAGTTGGTAATACATCAGTTATTGAGAAACGATTCTCATCTATACAATTAACATCAATCTATCAACAATAAACGTTAAAAGAATTTCATTTTCATATGAATCTTAACATTACTTTAGTTGAATTCGATTTTTTTATTCATTTTATTTCAAAAACAGAAAATTTGTTTATATAAAAAAGGCAAATGTCCATAAAATATAAATGACTTCTTATCAACTATTTCAAAGCATCGATAAAAATGTATAAATAACGTTCTCTACTTCGTACGTTATTAATCATGTTTACAATTCGAAACAAAACGTTTGTTTTTCTCGTTCACCTATTTCAAAATCATTAGAAATTAGATTCTTCGTTTCGATATGTATATATTTACATATCGAGTGTAATTTGAAAAAAGAAAAAATTCTCTCTATGAACAATAACGATTACAATATCCATTTTTCAATCATTCAAAAATATCTTTCTTACAAGTCAACTCTTTTAGACAAAGTGCGTCTTTGTAGCATTCAAATCCTTTAGGACTACTGTAAATCTTTAGAAAAGAGTTGCCTGTTAAACAAAGAAAGTGAGAAGAACGTCAAACACGGTATTATCGAAAATAAAATAGAGTACTGACAGCAATGATATGAAATAGACTTTATTGACTATTTCAACAACAACAACTAAATTAAGAGATTTATTTCCGAAAGAGATTGACTAATGTTTTTCGAAAAACATGTCCTCCGGTTAAAGTATAAATGTAAAATGGCATTCCCGAAGCCACATTAATAAACAGAAGAAATAAATTGAAAATGAAACTTTCAATTGTACTTTGCAAAGATGATTTCGGTAAATATCTTGTTATTGTTGAATAGAATTTTGAGAAAGCAAATGGAAATGAAAATAAAAGAATAAGACTAATTTGAGCGAGAAGCATTGATAATAAATGTCGATCTGTTCTTCGTTGTGAATTTGCTCGTCCATTATGAACATAGATTTGATTGATCCTTCCATTACTATTTGAAATTGTCGGATTTAAACGTCTTTGAGATCGACGAATGTTTGAAAGAATTAATAAACCAAAAATTAACATCAATGTCACCGGAATGAGAACAGTAATGAAAGCAAATGAGACATCGGAGAGAATTGCACATTCGACTGTTTTCGAATAACATTTTAATGGAGTATTTGTTAAATTAGCTTCGTAGCAAAAGATTTGTTGAATTTCAAAAAGACTTGAAAGAATTAAAAGACAAAGAAATGCTCGTTTAACATTTTTTAATGAACTTCGATTTCGACGAGAAACATCTTGACTTGACAAAAACCACCGATCAATTGTAGCTAATGTTATTAACCAAAAAGCGATGGTTAATGAATTAAAATAAATATAAATACGAAATTTACATAAAATTCCATTGGTATTTCCTAAATCAGCATCCCATGTTGACAGAAATCGAGGAAAAATGCCCGAACATAAACTAAGAAGATAAAAAATTGATGCCAGAAGAAAGAGATGCGAACAAGAATTTGAACGAAGTATTCGTTGTGAAAAAACAACAATATTGAGAAGATTGCCAATTATTCCAAAAAGAAAGATTACCAATGCTAAATAGCGATTCAATTGAAAAGAAATTGTACTTAATAGTGAAATAAGGTAAACATCATTTATGATTGAAGACATTTCTTTTATGCAAGAAAAATTGTATCAAATGTTAACGTATAGATGAATTCAACATGTCTTATATCATCGGGAAGAAAATCTATTTCGACGTTAATTCTCTTGAGCTTATTCATCAACTATATTGAAGTCTTCCTCTTATATTTCGGGATGAGAAGATTATCTTTTTCTTTTGCAGATTATCACCTTCACAACTGCTCCGCAAATTTAATAAAAATATTATTATGACTTCTAACCATAGTTGTTGATGACGGTGTCTCCTTTTCTCATCTTTTTTTTTATCCCTGTTCACGATCAATGTGCCGGTGACATATTACGCCGTTGGGTACTTTGGCTATTTGTAATTATTGATGATTAAAACAGAGAAATATACCGAAAGTTTCATCTGTCATCACCGGAAAAAAAAGAACTTATGAGTCGCCATAATTTGCTATGATTCATATTTAAAAAAAATCGGTTTTCGTTCACTTACGAAAACGAATAGATATCATAAAAAAGGAAGACCAACCTCTAAAAACATTGAAAATTAAACTTTAGTCATTAAACCTTATTAGTGATCATTTTTAACCAGATGTAATATTGACTTTTGTAGACTCCTAATAGTTTCTAATGATTCATAAAGATTGTTAGTAACAGAAATCAATTTGTATCCTTTCAATGTATCGGATATTTATGTGTCTAGAAATAATGAAATATTGAGCATTCCAGATCAAAGCCACTAGGACTTGATGCCACCAAATACTATGTAATAGACTTTAGTTAATTCTTACTCGCGACAGGGTTTTTTAATGATCTTTAGACAATATTTAACCCATAATAACTGGCACATTTATGAATATGTTTGCAAGGAGTAGATTTTTATTATTTAGAAAGATGAGCTGTATGCTAAAGCGACATTTATTAACAGTTTTTCTAGATATGGTTAGTAAGTCATCCGACGATCTACGTAAAAAAATGTTCATTTCTTCGGCAGTATACAATCATTTTTACTTTCGTTTTACTCGAACTATATTTGTATATAATTTTCATGAGCAATTTTATTTTAGCCTTTTAATCTTGGAATCGAGTATTTTATTAAAACTTTTTTTAGTTTTAAAATAATCTTATCGTTATATTATATATAAATAATTTCAATAAATGAATAATATGAAAATATAGAATTTGAAAAAGCAATGAAAACTGCGAGTATGAGAACCTATAAAACCCGCTGGATTCTGTTGGTTCCATAAAGGCTTCTGACGGAATCAACATTCCGAAATATTCGTCCGGGGATCTTTTATTAAATACAGATAATTAATAAGAAATATTCGTGTCATATTAGCTTCTCTTTAATAAATAGTAACTCAGGGGAATCAATCTGACTAGGGGCGTCAGCGTTCCCTAGAGTTCCATTCCGGGAAATGGAGCGGATTTTATCATTCATCCTGCAGCATTTTTTTACGCGTAGTTATACCTTTGACATACGATTGTACACAGTACTAAGTAAAAGTCGTTGTTCGTTCCCCGTTCTGGGCATGGGAACGCCAAAGTGACACCCCTAATCGGAGAGAATTGCACATCCGACTGTTTTCAAATAACATTTTAATGGAGTATTTGTTAAATTGGCTTCATAGCAAAAGACTTGAAAGAGTTAAAAGACAAAGAAAAACTGTTTTAGCATTTTTTAATGAACACTTCGCCTTCGATGAGAAACATTTCGACTTGACGAAAACCATCGATCACATGTAGCTAAAGCTATTAAATTTATACAGAGAATTCCATTTATAGTTCCTAAGAACGAGAAAATGGCCAGTGCTAAATAACGATTCAATTGAAAAGAAATAACATATAACATCGCTTCTCCAGATGAAAACATTCTTTTTATTTAAGGGAAATTTATGCAAATGTCAACACACAGATGAACTCGACACGACTTATATCATCTGAAAGATCTATTTTTGACATAAAACATATTGAAGTTTTCCCTAATAGCTCGAAATATGAAAATCTCTCTCATTTCCAACCATCGATCATTTGAGCGAACAAAAACTAAAAAATACTGAGTACAATACAACAAAATGATTACGATTGATGTGAATTTTACAAGAAAAAGTGTTTGACAGTTGATTTAGACAAATAGAATTGTCTCAAAAGAATTCATTACACAAACATGATGAATCAAATTGAGTTGGAAGTTATTTTTCTTCTATTTATCATATAGGTGCCAATTTGAACTTTATCGATGCATTTTTGTTGTTGATAAATCGCTCGAATTTCTATTGTTGACAAACATCGTTTGAAGGCAACTAAATCAGCAATTCGAGCTTGGACTGGAGATTCCATTGAATAGTTAATTCGTTTACAGGTGATCGTAATTGCATTTGACTGCGAAAGTCCACTCAAATGAGAGTTAAACATTTGATGAAGATTAAATGAGTTTATGTTTTGCGCATTTATCCATTTACAATAACCCGTTTGTGATTCACTATTGGTTATAACAAGATGTATCCATTGATTATCGAAGAGAGTTTGTTTATCATCGCGAAATCCGTATTGATTGTCAGTATGATAACAGTGATGTAAGTCAAGAACATGAGTCGTTCCAATTCTAACGTTCATTTCACATTGACGAGGTAAGAAGAGCCAAAAAGAAAATGAATAATATCCATTAAAAAATGACTCGGGATATTGTTGTTCAAAGAAATCTTTCCTCGTATTGACATAAAATGGATCAATCACTTGTAAAACATAACATTGACTTGATTGGAAATTTGTTGGTGAAACAGATCGATCGATATTTTGTGTTAATTCTCGTTGATATTCATTCATTGCCGAATTATTCAGAGGTGATTCTCGAGAGAATTTCAATGATCGATGAAACCATTGATTAAGAAAATGTTCATCGTCTGTTATACACGATCGCCAATAGTGACAAACAAACGAGGCACGAATCAGATCTGGTAGTTGATCAATGTAGCTAAAGAGGTGCTGAAACAACGCACAAGACAATTCAGCCATTTGCTTTTGTCAATCACGTGGAAATATATGACCTTCAGTCGTCCGACAACTATTTTCCAAGAAAAAGGTCAACGCATAAGTTCAATTGTGTTCGATAGACATTGACCTCTCTTAAAAGAAAATAACATCAGATGAAATTTTTCTTATCATTGTATTTAAGTAACTCGATGTGATGAATTAATCACAGAATATCGACCGCGTTACAAAATCGAATCACGCGAAAAGCACGCTTTGATGTGAACTCTCCATTGCCGTCGAAATATAAAAGAAATATGAGATGAGCTCCGAAAGTTTATTCAAAAGCGCAATTGATGGAAATATTAGTAAAAAGAAAAACTAATGATCAGTATGAATAGATTTCCGCAGTACCAACAGTTAAATATTCCACATTTGGATCACTAGTGACTAATACACTACCATCGAATAACATAGAGGTTTGAGCCAAAGTTCTACCGAGTTGCATAGGAGCAGTCCGGGACCAGCTTTCTGTCACAGGATCATACAATTCTGCACTTTCAAGACCCATAGAAGTACGATCGTCTCCACCAACAACTAATACTTTTCCATTAGTTAATAATGATGCACCATGTGCTCCTCTTCCATCATTCATGCTACCAGTGAGCGTCCAATTTCCAGTTTTTGGATCATACAGTTCAGCAGTACTTTGGTTATATGCGACTCCACCGGCTACTAATACTTTCCCGTTGTTCAACACAGTCGCTGTATGGAATTGTCGATTATAATTTGTCTTCCCAGTAACTGTCCACGATTCTGTCAATGGATCATATAATTCAGCAACTTGTTTGAAATCTATTGTAGTCGAGTCACCAGTAACCAAGACCTTTCCATCGTGTAATATAGATGCTTGGTGTTCAAATGCTCGTCCATTATGCATATCACCAGTAAGTGTCCACATTCCTGTTATAGGATCGTATATTTCGCATGTTTTACTAATATTACTAAAATTAAATTCGTATTTTCACCAAATATTTAGTCCAAATTCGTTCGAACAAAATTCATACGCGTCAGGTTCACGAAGGAGTTTCTTTTCTGGATTTCCACCGACTACCAAAACCTTTCCATTTTTTAGAACAGTTGCTACATGATGACATCGTGGATAGTTCAAACTACCAGTACTTGTCCAAGTATCTGTTCTTGGATCGTATAATTCAGCACTTTGAACACATCCACGTTTCCTACAGTTTAATCCACCAACAACTAATACTTTTCCATCAGCTAAAACAGAAGCCGTATGAAAAACTCGTTCAATACTCAAAGATGCAGCCAATGTCCAGTTTCCTGTCGTATGATCGTACAATTCTGCTGTATTGAAACATTCATGTCCATATCGACCATATCCACCGACAACTAATACTTTTCCATCGGATAAGACAGATGCTGTATTTTCGAATCGTGTGACGTTTCGATTCTTTGTAAATGACCATTCTAAGCATATTCATGAACTTCTTTGTATTTGAAAAGTACAAATATGTTACTTGGTTCTCGAACAGGTGTACTTATTGTGGTTGCTACATTAGTCAAATTTTGAAATGTGACAAAAATCTTGAAACGATTCTTTCTTTACTTGTGATTGATGGACATATTTGCTTATTCATCATTGACAATGGATAACAAACAGGATGATTGTGACATCGGCGATGATGGACGCAAATTGAATCTTTTTGATCACATGTGTTATCCGAAGGACGACATGGTTCAAGTTGAGAGCATGATGTCCAAAGAAAGCCACAAATGCTACTTTCATTAGTATTGATTCGATGGAAACAGCCACAAGCACTATTTGTTGAGCATCGATCATATTGAGATGTTCCTTTACATGCTTCATAATTCATTTCAGTTGCTAGAGAAGCACTGAAGTAGAGAGGAATATAATGAAAGCGAAAGGACTCGAAATGTACCTTATGAAAATAATTAAAACGAAACGATGCATTTTCTTCTCAATCATCATTGCTTGTATGTGGAGAAAACACTGACAATGCGTTTCTTTTTATTTCGAACAAGTCAATAATACCTTAAGCTGTATTCTTATTAGATTTTCTCCGCTTTAAAATAAATGAGATGACGTCAAATGGATTAGATGTATCTCAATAACGTCTGTATTTTTCTTAGAGATCTGAATTTTTTTCTACAAGAACGGACGATACAATCGAAAAGACTCATTCTCCTTGTCTTGAAACTTTATTACATCTCGCTCTAAATAGAAGCGAATCGTAAACAAACATTGCTCGTTCTTTCGTAAGAATTGAAATAACAGAAAAGATTGCCGATTGCTTGGCAATATTTGAGTTGTACTGACTGGTTGTCAACAGTCAATTGCTTTCAAAATCTCGTTATTCTAAACCGATAGACTGTCAGTTTCCTGTTTTGAAAGTCATTCGAACGAAGATCAATCGGCAAATCTTCTTTGTCTATTAGATTCACGAATGACTTCAACAACACTAAACGAACGGGACATAATTGACACAATTATCAAGTTCAAAGACAATGGAAACAAATTTGTAAAGGTAGTTATTCACTCATGCGTCAACATGGACTGAATTTTTATTTTTTTCTCGTTCAGGCTGAACAATACGACGACGCGATAGATGAATATGACAAAGCCGTTCAAAAGTTACAGTTTGTAACACATGAGGGACAATGTGCTGGTTTGAACGCAGTTTTGTATCTCAACCTGGCGTATTGTAACTTAAAACTACAAAGATATGTCACTTGTATAAGTTTTTGTGATGACGTCCTGAAACTAACTGATGATAAGAACATACGTGAAAAATGTTTATACCGTCGAGGCGAAGCAAATCGATGTTTGATGCATATCGACCGCGCACTTCAAGATTTTCGAGCAGTTTTGGAAATCACATCGACAAATAGAGATGCTTTGGACGGTATTGCTCGTTGTAAAACTATTCAAGTATGTATAAATCACATGTGGCCCAAAGTTTTTCTATTCTTGGCCGTATCAATTTATACCTCCCCTAGATTATCCCGTTTGAAAATGGTACAGCAGAGTATGCGGAAGTATCAGCACACGGACTACTATCGACACTATGCTGTTATAACCGTCTTGAATATATCACTTCGAATGTGCCACCTGATCTGATGTTTCCATTCGTGTCAGAAGGTCTGTCGTTACTGATGGAGATGGTATTTGATGACGATCTTAAAAGCGGAACATTGATAAATGTTCTGGAAGCAACGAATTTTGGAGCGTTCAGTCGAACAGAAAAGATGCTGTTGGAACACAATATTATATATGATGAGAACATAACAAATCAACTTTGTAATGAAATGGTACTTACTGAGGTCCTATTTCATGCGATAATACTACGTCGTGTCCTAAAATATCGAAAAGCATTGGAAATTCTGGAATCTAAGAAAGAACAGTTTTCGACTTCTTCCACAATTCCGCAACGTTTATTATTTTTATTGGAAAAATGCTTCTGTCTGAAGTTAATTCGTCTCGAGGAAAGCACTAATGGAAAAGATAGTACAATACATTCGATCTGCATTATTGATTTGCTAAGAGAAGCAACGAAAATCTGTCAAACAGAATTGAACACATTCAAAGAGTTAGTTTTTGATATTCAAACTTTAATCATAGAAGAATACATTCAACAAAAACAGCGATCAATGGTTTATGAAGAACTTTCTCGATTGGTATACATTGGTAATCCAATATTCCAAACTCATTTCTGGTTACAAATTGCAAAAGATCAGCTCAGCGAAAAGCGAATGCTTGAATTCATTGCATGTCTAGCTGTAGCTGGTTATGCTGTTCTTAATGACGATAATGTGCTACAAATTTGTGATTATTATTTGTTAAGCGCAAAAGCGCATCTTTACGAAGGCGATTACGATGGATTTGTTGGATGTCGCGAAAAGGGTGATAAATTACTGACTGAAACATTGTTCAAAAACGATTATTCATCGACTGCTGCGTTTGTATTTCAATACAAAACGATGATCGCTGCATGGTATGACGAGTATGAAGCCTTATGCATCGACTTTTCAAGACGATCAAGAAAGAAGAATTGTAATTTACAAGCGGAAAAGTTGGAACGTGAAGCTTTTCGAACAGCAGACTGGAGAATCTCGCGTGGTTATGTAACGGAAGAAATGATTTTAGCTCATTGCTTTGAACTGCAAAGCAATACAGTAAAAATACCAGAGAACTGCGCATATTTAACATACAAAATCAATGGTTTTTATAATAAAGGTAAAATCGATTGTTTGATTTTGGCAGCTGAATTCCACGATCTCGTCCGTACTGGCTTGGACATGGATGAAGAAAAGTTATTGGAACGACTCGCGCCTATATTAAACGATGTGAATAAAGAACATACATTTGAACAAAACATTGACCAAATCAAAAGTAAATATCCAGCATTATACAAAGATTTCCTTTCACCTATTGAGGCGTTTCTTAACGAACATAAAATCTTCAATGTGAAAATCGTTTCAAGTGATGACTTTTATCGAAAAGTGTTAGGTATGCAAACAAAACAATTGAGTGAAAAGGATTTGTTAATACCACCGGAACATTGTTATATTCAATACTCATCGTGTACTTTGAAAACGAATGGAACAATTTATTGCTATGTGATCTTTGGTCGACAGAATATCAAATTTGAAATTATTGATTTAAAAGAGCACAATCTTCGAGTAGATCAGTTTTTAGATAATATAACGTTCATGGCTGAAGGATTCAATGAAAGACAAGACGACAAATCCATTGATGAATCAGATATCGATGTGGAAAAATGGACGAGATTACGAAAAGAATTTTTCAAGATACTTTTCAAGCCAATCATGATACATCTCAAACAAATCAAATGTATTCAAATCATTGCTGAAGAAGAACTGTTGTACATACCTTTCTCTAGTCTGTTAGTCTCGGAAGATGACGAGAAGTACCTGATAGACTTATTTGAAATTTCATTTGTTTTGTCAGCTGGCTTTGATCAGATTTATCAGTTGAATTCATTTAACAAAGAATCTAATGTATCATGTCAATTAGAAGTATTTACTACAGAAACAGTTCATCCTGAATTCGAAGAAGAGTACGACTTAGACTATTCACTGGTAGAAATAATCGAAAAACTTCAACATGAGCAAATTCCATTTACACCACATTCAAGTGCAACTAAAGAAGAAGTTGAAATCTTCTTAAAAAGTAGAATTCATTCAAAACCGTCCATATTTCACTATGCTGGTCATACATTCTACGATGAGCAACAAGTACAAAGTAATTATGCATTAAGTGGTTGTATGATTTTACAATATGACAATGGCAAAGAACGTCTCGAGACAATGCTTTACTCGAATCAAATAGCCAATTATGATCTAAGAACTACACGACTTGCCGTTTTAAATTCATGCAGCACATTGAAAGGTAAATTCTTTATTTGATATTCAAATCAAAGTGTCAATGAGCAGATTTCTATGTTTGGAATTATCTATTTCAGGTAGTTCTCTTACCAGAAGTGGACATCTGGGATTGGCACGTGGATTTATTATAGCTGGTGTTTCGACTGTTGTCGCAACGACGATTGATTTGGAAACAAATATATCAGTTGAATTTGCAAAGAGATTTTATAAGTATCTTCAAGAAGGACTCACAATTTCATGTTCATTCACTCGAACAATTCGTGATTTAAAAGAATTGAACGATTATCGAAGCCCTGATTATTGGGGACCATTCGTACTATTTGGTTGTGGATTTAACAAATTAAACATATGTACTTAATTCTGTATCTCCATGGAAAACAATCGTAAGCAAAAACATAGAGCATTCTTATTTGTGCTGTTTGCTGTGTCCTTAATAAATACTTATTTCTCGAGTATATAGACGTTTGATTTCATTGAAATCCATCAATGAGAGTATCTAAACTCAGCAAGACTGTAAAGATCATCGTTAAACCTTCGAAATTTTATGAAGGATAACTGATTAGAAGAAAAATGAAATAGAAACAAATAAAAAAAGTTCCTACACAATACAAAGAAATTTGAATTTGTTTTCACAAGTAATTAAACAGTCATTACAAATATGAATTATAAATAATCTAAGCTAAAATGTTCTGTTCTATGAAACTGGTTGTGCCTAACAATATAAATTATGTTTTCATGCAACATTGCGTTCCTCTCTTGTCAGAAGACTTCTTTGTTCGTCTTCAATTTTCTTTGCAGAATCCTAAAGGAGAAAATTTTACAAAGAAAGCGAAACTTCTTCTAAACTTACTTCGAGTTTCTTCAAAAGAACAGCAACAACAAGGTTAACAAGTACAAATTGAGTTGAGAGAACAAAAGTAACAAAGTAAATGGGAGAGATGATCATCATTAAAGAACTTTTCTCTTCATCCGTTGACTCATCTTGTCGCATTGTATCCTAATCAAAGAATTTCAATCATATTGTTGTTATTTACAAATTGACTTACTGCCATAATCGCATTCCAGTTATCTCCTGTCGCCACTCGATATAAAGTAAGAAGCGCGACTCCAAAATTCTGAAAGTTCGTGTGTTTATTTAATCCCTCGCACGGTTGTTCGTCAGTGCAGTGAATTTTGCCAAATAATTCCACGCCCAATGCAGCGAAGATGAAGAAGATAAGGAAGAATAGAAGAGACAAATTTCCGACTTGAGGAAATGCTTCGATGACAGTATCGATAAGTGCTTGAATTCCTTTCGCCATTTTCAATAGTCTCAAAACTGCAAAATCAAGAGAAAATTAACGAGAACTCAATTGAATTGCTTATTACTTACTTCGTGCAATTCGGAGAAGTCGCATCACTCGAATCAATGTTGGATTGATTGGCAAAACACTTTTATGACTCATTTTATCGATGACGATTCCAATTATTGATAGAAATACAACAAATGCGTCGAATCGATTCCAACTAAAAAGTCGAATTTGAAAATAAATTTTCAAGAAACTCTAAATCTTACTTGTCACG